AGCAAAAAGGTAGAGAGGAGGCAGAGGAGGAGGGGGAGGAGCAGAGGAGGGGGGGGGGCGGAGGAGGAGGAGGCGGGGGGTTGGGGGGAGAGAAGAGGAAGAAGAGGAGAGTAGAAGCAAAGAGTTAGAGAGGGGCAGAGGAGCATGACGAGGAGAAGGAGAGGAAGAAGAAGGGGGAGGAGGAGGAGGAGAGGAGAAGAGGGAGGAGAGGAGAGGATGGTAGCTTTCGCGTCCGAGCCACTCTGGCGGCATGGAGGGAGCTGGCTTGAAGAGTATCCGCAAAAGTATCCGAAGAAGTATCCGTGAAAATATCCGCTGAAGAAATATCCGTAAAGGTATCCGGTGAAGTATCCGGAAACTATCCATGAACGTATCCGAAAGTCGTGAGAAACGTTTCAGGCAAGGAAGTTCGAAAGAGGGTATTTCGATGTTACAAAATGTTTGAACTTTTTTGAATATACCGTATTTTAATTTGAAAGTTTGTCGTTTTATTATTAAAAAGACATGAACTTTGTGACCAAATTATGAAGAGTCAGGAACAATCGAAACTTCTACCCCAAGGGTAGATCGCAGGGATTCCCGTAGGTAGTGCTTCGTACTACAGCTACCGTCCAAACGCCCACCCAATCATCTCATTCTGTACCTATCAATGTTAAGTTAATAGAAAAGAATAGATGTTAACTAAAATTACTTTAGGAATGTCGCGCCCCTCTGGGGAATGGCGTCCAAGTCTATTTGAGGACGTTTGAGGTCCATGGCTTTAGACAAGCAGCAGCAGCAGTAGGGAGGAGGAGCAGAGATGGCGAAGTGAGCGATGGCAAGAGATAGAGCGATGACGAAGGGTCATGTATGGAGTCGAGTGATGGAGACATCGTTGAGATAAGTGACAAGGATTCAAGTGACAGAAGATTCTGTTGCAAGTGAAATATCCATGGGTGAATGAATGTACTACATTCATAGAGCTTGATGACAAGGTTGCTATCGATGGATGAGTTGCCTTCAATAGTAGAGATGAAATGAGTGCAGGATGAGGTTGAGATATTTTGTAGAATGTGCGGAAACAAAGCGATTTACGTCTCCTGTCGGATAGCGTCAGACATTATCAACATGGTTTGAGCTATTTGTCTCATAGTTGTTTAAACACAAGAACTGAATTGTGTTTTGTTGAAGTAATTCTGATCCGCACATTCTGAGAAGGATGTTCTCTCAGCTTCAAGATATGATCTTCAAGTTTCCATCTATGCACTTTCCGAAGTTCCCAGCCATGCACTTTCCCAAATTCAGTGCCAAGGACTTCGCAGGCGGTCAAGTAAGCATGTTGAAGCTGCTGTCGTCTCAAATCTGATATGTTGCTTACATCAGGCAACTATGTCGACCACAGAGTTTCACTGTGTGAATGGCACTTGTGATGGCAAGGTCGAGATCGTTTCTTCAACGCTCTGTGAACTAACATGATAACAGACTATCACTGGCAAGTGGAAAACACCCACCCATCCCTTGCACTAAGTTAGCAGATGGGCTTTATTACAAACAGAATCGAAAGCTATTGGTCAAAACTAAGAGCACAAGTTAGTGATGTATATAAAAGTAGTAAGTAGTCTTTCTTCTGTCTTGGGTCTTATCTTATCGTCTTGGACTTCACTACACTTTGGCTGAATTCTTTGCCTGCCTCTCATAATGCTTCTTAGTGGCCTCATCAGCATCCAACCATTGATCCTTGAGGATCTGAGCTCTCTCTGAGATTGACAAGTCGGGGTGCTGCTCTTTAACCTCCCACATCTTGTCTGCAGAGAAGAGGAAGAAGGCGGTCTTGCCCTTGGGCTTCTTGATAGGGGCATCGTCCTCATCTTCGTCCTCTTCCACATCAACCTTCTGCAAGTTGTCTCGAGAGGATGTCTTCTTGGACTTCTTATTCTTGTTCCTGTTTTTCTTCACTGTCTTGGCCTTGCTGTTGGCACTGGTTGGAGAGGATTCCACAGCCTGTTCCTCCTTAGATCTCTTCCGCCGGAAAGGAGTGGGTTCGGGAGAACGCACAACCAGGTCCACAATCTCTGGCAAGACAGCACCTGTTTCGCGAGCATATTCCACCCTCTCATTCCTCCAGTACTGGAGGGGCCGCATCTTCCTGCGCTTGCTCCTCCTCTTCCCATCATCCTCGATGACAGGGCGAGGAGCAACATCTGACAACCTCTTGGACTTGGGCGCGTACGAGTCCGTGTTGCAATAGGAAGCACGCCCCATCGTGTCCAGCCTGTCAATAAGAGCAAGCCTGCCATCGTCGCGCTCTCTTTTCTTCGAAGCGGCCTTCTTGGGCTTGATCTCTTCCTGCTGAATCGACTGGTTCTCGTCCTGGTCGTCATTCTGCTCGTCACCTGAATCTGCTGCAGCGCAATCATCCACGTCGAAGTCTTCCATGCTTGTGTCTCCATTCTTCGTGCCTGGGGTTCGAGCGAACGAAATGGAAGACTTGCGGCGGATAGCAGATTCTGCAAACGAAACTCGAGGCTGCCGAGAGCTGACGTCAGAGGAGCATGGGGAGGCATCATCGGTCTTGGAAGTTTTCTCGGCCGAGTCTGTAAACGACAAGCGCTTGCTCGCATCCATCGCAGGAGAGCCATCACTCATGTCTGCAACGCTTGGCGAGTTCAGTTCAGAGATAGACTGCTTGGAGGCATCCGTGTTGACGTTACTCTTCTCCGCAGATGTGCAGGAAGCATCAGCATAGCTCTGCTCGGTCTGATCTTGGCTCTCATCATTTCTGGACAAAGAGGCCTTTCCGCTACTCTGAGAACAATCAGCCAAGTACTCCGAACGCTTGGAAATGCCAGACGGACTCGCGGAATCATTGTCATTGGATGATTCGGTGTCTTGAGAGTACTGCGAAACCCTCCCTGAGTATTCAGAGAGCGGCCCGGTGTCCATGCTGGTCTTGGATCGATCTCTGGCATCGCTAGCCAAACTCGACTTCCTCCTCATTGCTTCGATTTCTTCCGCATTCCAAAAGTCACTCAATCGCTCCATTCCAAAGCTGTCCTTGAGAACTGAGGAACCAATCTTCAAGCCAGTTCTCCGACCACGGCTAGGGATAATGGAAGAGTTCTGCTGGGAAGTGACGTCTGCAAGGGGCTGGGGAGGCATGGAGAAAACTCTCTTCTTGAATTCAAAGCCGCGAGTGGTGATCTCTCGCCCTGTTCCTTGTCTTCTAGGCGTAGCTCTCTGACCATTAGAGACAAGATCCTGGTCTGCCATCTGCACACAATGAGTTTTAGCTAACGTGGTAATGAAAACATGCTGTGAAACCTTCTGGCGGTATTTCAAGATGCTGTCAAGCTCATGCAGAGGATCTGAATTTCTCTTCGAGAATTCCTCTATAGTGAAGGGCATACAATCGTCAACTGATGCATTCAGCGACTCTTGGTCTATCATCTGCTCAAGAATGTCATCATGAAATGGCACGGATATGAAGATGCAACATCAATCAAACTAAAATGTCATCCAGGAAAATGATTTGGTGAGTGCACGTACATTTGACAAAATTCCACTGCTTGAAAACTAATCCACAACATTCAGTGATTGGCATGAGTTTGCAAATGGATTTTTGCTCAGTTGTATGCATAATACACTACATCATCACAGGAACTCAGCTTGGAATTGAAAGGCTTCTGTCTCAACCCTGCACTCAAGTATTGAATCATGATCTAGATTCAATAATTACATCAAGCTTATCCTTCGTCATTTGCGAATCTTGTTGCCTCTGCTCATTCCTATGCTACCCGCTAGTTCAAATCCACAACAGTTCGGTCCCCCAACGTTCATTTTCGAGCATGCCATCACTCTATCATATCTTCATCGTCTTCTGAGTGTCATTCATCTTCGCTTCCGTTGTCTCATCGTCTCTCTCTTCCTCTTCCCTCTCCTTCTTGTCCTGCTTTCTCTGTCCCGCCATGCCCTGGGCCTCAACGACAGATTTTTGAACCACAAATTTGGACTACCCCACCCCCCTTTGATTCCTACCCCCACCCTGGATTATTGAAATATTCGTCACCCTACCTTTTCGCTCATTTTACCACCCACCCCAGGCTGTGAAACCAGCCCCCCACCACCCCTTCAATTCAATGCCTTCGCCGTTATAATCGTTACGGTCAAGTTTTAAAAACAGCCATTCATACTTTCGTTTTAGAATGGTACAGTTGTGAAGTTTTTACATCTATTTGTAAAAACTACTGTACCATGTAAATAAATAGTCCATACAAAGTTATTGAGGTTGTGTTTATTCAACATTTTATCTTGGTAGCAGTAAAAAATCCAAAAACTGATTGTAAAGACGCACCATGGCGAACCAAGCCGAAGGTACTTCGGCGAAAAAGGAGCGAGGGAGGGGGACATGGAAGGAGGAGGAGGGAATGGATGAAGGGAGAACGTAGCAAGGAGCTGGGAGGCTACTACAGCACATAAGCAGGGCAGAGAGATCAGAGCAAAGGAGAGGGACCATGTACAAAACTTTCTTGCGGACAAATGGAAATGGAGCTTCGGGATCTAATGGAAAGAAAAATGTGATGAGGAGGTAGAAGCAAGGAAGTGACACGACGTGAAAGATCCTGTATGTTGCATCAGAGAATCAGAACAATGATAGGGGCAGGATGCGAGAAAGGCTGCACACCTGGACATGCAGAGGAAATGGATCAGAACAGAACATGAGAAATATTGAGAGCATGGAGAAGCTTTCGTGAAGTGGTGTAGATGTGTCGAGAACGAAACGGTTCTTGGAGAACCTGATGGCGAGCGAGTCAGAGAGCGACAAGTGTATTCAGAGTGTTGTGCCGTTGAGAATAGGAGAGCAGGTCCTCAATTTGATTTCAAACTGTTTGGTCAGGTGATTCTGTCAGCAATGCAGAACAGAGCGAAAAACCGTCAGGTGCAGCTGACTACTTGCTTGCTCGTGTGATTGTTGTCTACAGATGCAGCAGATGGCGAGCAATCGAATCAAAACGCGACCATGGTGATGCAAAGAGTGTACTTGACGTGGAGTTGAAGATATTCGCCTCCAGATCAATTCGGCTTTCATGATTCCCGTGGATCTCTCCTCGGCAAACTCTTCGAATCCTGCAGGTTGGAACGCTCCCTTGCCCGGCCAAGTTGTTCTCGCTCTCCCCAACGGTCAGCAGCCCTTCGCTCGAGGGCCGGACAGGAAGAAACGGCTGAGGTCAGACTTCAACACAGCTCAGCTCAAGCGACTGATAGAGGTGAGAAGAGGGAGGCAGGTGAAGTCTTGCTGAAGGAACAGAGGAGGGGAGAGAACCTGAGGACTAGGAAGAGGAGAAGAGAGGAAAGGTCAGGAGATGAAACGTGTACAGGTGTATGAGATGGACGAATCGAAACGGCCAGACCGACAGGTGCTAGCGAAGGAGCTCGATGGACTAGAAGGAGGGAGGCAGGTGGATGCAGCGGCTGTGAAGGCATGGATGAAGAACAGGTATCACACGTGCAAGAGAACATGTCGGCCGGCTCCTTCGGTTCCAGGTGAAACATACGTGCGAGAATGGTGAAAGGAGCGGCTGAGAAGCACAACAGGCGAGAGAAAGCAGAGACAAGACTTCAATGCCGCACAGTTGAAGAGGCTGGTGGAGGTGAGGAGAGGCAAACGAGACTTGGGGGGAGAAGGGGGGGGGAGAGAAGGGGGGAGAGAGAGAGAGAAAGAGAGGAGGAGGAGGAGGGCTGATATCAGACCACAGGTGTTTGAGATGGAGGAAGGGAAACGACCAGAACGAGAGAAATTGGCGAGCGAGATTGACGGGCTAGAGGGAGGGCGGCAAGTCTCAGCCTACGACGTGTTGGCCTGGATGCAAACAAGGAAGCGGATGCTAAAGAAGAAGCAAATGAGAAGTCAGACCCTCGCTCCCCCTCCTTCCTGGCTCCTTCCACAGACTCTCGGTGAGCAGGCGAGTGCTAGGGGATTGGACCAAGCAAAGAATGTCGGGGAGGCTGCGGGGAAGAGACCAAGAATGGACTACAATGAAGTTCAGGTCGCAAGGCTGCTGCAGGTGAGACTATCTCCTCTCCTCTTCTTCCTGCTCCCCTCCCGCTGCTCACCTTCGCTTGATCGTGCTCCCCCTTTTCCCAACGGCTTGATTTTGAAAGACTTGTCCTTTTTCTCTCTCCTTCCCCTCCAGGTCTACCAGATGGACTCAGCAGAGCGGCCGAGCGCCGAGGAGGTGGCAAAGGAGATCAACGGGCTGGAAGGAGGGCGGGCAGTTGACGCGAATGCTGTCAAGGCATGGCTGAAGAACCGGCTGAGATTCTCAGGAGAGGAGAGAAAGAAGAGAAAACGATCCGAGTATAACGCCACTCAACTCAAGCGCCTCCTAGAGGTTGACGCCGGCCTCCCTTCCCTTTCTTTCCTCCTCCTTGCCCCTTCCCCCACACGTCTCCCTTCAACTCTCCATCCCTTTCTCTGATCTTCCTCCCTCCTTGCCCCACCTCTCGCTTGTCTGTCTCACGTCCTCTCATCCTCCTCCTGCAGGTCTACGAGATGCCCGAGGCTGAGCGACCTGACCGGGAGGCTCTGGCGTGGGAGCTGGACGGGCTGGAGGGAGGGAGGAGGGTGACAAGGACGGACATCAAGGCTTGGATGAAGAATCGCTTCCATGCCAGCCGGAGACGAAGCAGCCTCCCTCCCAACTCCAATGCTGACAAGGCAGGGGAGGAGGAGGAGGAGGAGGAGGAGGAGGGGAGGAGGGAGGAGGGGAGGAGCGAAGAGCACGAGGGTTCAGCGGTACAGCAGCCTTCAGCCTCTGGAACCGTGTACATCCTTCCTGCTGGGATGGAGCAGGTGGCCAATGGGCAGTCAAACTCGCAGCAGGCAGCTGTGATGGAGCAGTACAAGCGATTCATGGAAGAGCAGCACAACCGATTCATGCGCTACATACAAACACAAGGAGGAGGAGGAGGAGGAGGAGGAGGAGGAGAGGAACAAAGCCCTGCTGCTGATTCTCTTCATCCTCCTCCAGCCGCAGCCAGTACAGACAAGGCGCTGGGGGAGGAGCCGAAAGAATCCGGAGGAGACGAGGACGGGCAGGAGGAGAAAGGAGATGGACAAGGCAAGGAGGAAGAGGAAGAGAGCGCGAGGAAGGAAGGGAAGAAGAGCGAAAGGAAAGAGGGGACAAAAGAGAAGAAATCAGAATGAGACTGAAACACTAGAATGAAAATTTACTGTAACTGTTGCTGAAGGGCGCGGACGGAAGTAGAGGAGGGAGAGAGGAGGAGAGCGAAGAGGAAGAGAGGAGAGGAAGAGAGGTGGAGGGAAGAGGTGAGCGGGAGCGGGAAGGAGACGTTTGAACTGTCACTGCTACACCCTCAAATAACTAGCGGAATTGAACGCCTTCAAAACGGTCAGAAGACAGGAGAGAGGAACGTTGGAGCAACCAGAATCAGCAAACATCCGGAGCACCATCCCTTAGGATGCATCGGCTCGTTCGAGTCCAGGAAAAACTCGTCGAGGTCGCCATGGTTGTTGGACGGCGCGAGCTCGGGGGAGCAGACTGAGTCTTCACTCTCAGATGAGTCTGAGTGTGAAACTTGAAACCCCCCCGTCATGTCAGCCGATGCCCTCCTTACCCTCGCCTGCAACAGCATGTCACCATCCTCCCTCCTCCTCCTCCTCCTCCTCTCCATCCCATGCTCCTGGGTGTTTATCTAACCTTTCTTCCCCCTTGCTCCTCCTATCCTCTCCTTCTCCCCCTCCCTCAACAACCAACTACTCATCATCCCTCGTTGCCATCGTCAAGCCAACAGCTTGTCCTCACCTGTCCGACTTGCGCAAGGCGCTGCTGCAGCATGGGGTTCTTGTCGATCACCTCCTTGAAGTCGCATCGCATCAGCTGGAACAACTCTGCGGGCACTGGAGGAGACACGCCGTGGTGGAACACGTCATGGTATCCAAGCGACACGATGTCCGCCGTCCTCTGCTCCGAGACTGTCAGCGCTACTTCTCCGAAGAAGTCCCCTGCACGCGGCGTCAGAAGTCGGACACCAGGACGAGAAGGAGAGGAGGAGACGCAGCAGGGGGAGAGGCGGCGGCGTAATTGGTGGTGGCGGCAGCAGCAGCAGCTCCAACGGGAGCAGGAGAGGGGGATGAGCAGCAGCAGCAGCAGCAGCAGCAGCAGCAGCAGCAGCAGCAGCAGCAGCAGCAGCAACAGGGGAGGGAAGGCAAGGTTGTTCACCGGCCATCAGGCGGTCGATTTCCTCATTGTTGACCACGACTTTGACAGCCCCGTAGTGAATGAAGTACATGGAATCCCCTTCCTCCCCCGCGTTGATCACGTGCTGCCCCGGGCTGACCTTGACGATCTTTAGCCTCCTCGTCACATCCAGCAAGACCTTGGGGTCGATGTTGTCGAAGATGGGGAGCTTTCTGATCAGCAAGAACGCTCGGTGGTGGCTGTGCAGCGCCAGGTCCTTCAAGGTGGCCCCGTCCTCGTTGAACCAGGAGTGTGCCAGGCACTGCGAGGGGCTCAGCCGCCTCTTGGGATTGACCACCAGCATCTTCCTAATGAGCTGCTTTGCCGATTCCGAGATCCCATCCCAGTAAGGGGAGGGGAAGGAGAAATCGCCCGCACAGATGAGCCTGAAGAGCTCCGCGTTCGAGTCAGCGTAGAAGGGCAGGAAGCCGCACAGCATGACATAGATCACGATCCCCATGGACCAGATGTCAACTTCCGGGCCATACCCTATCGAGATGCAGTAGGGGTCCACCACCTCTGGGGCCACGTAGTTGGGTGACCCACAGACCGTTCGCATCGGCTGCTTCTCAACGAAGATCTTCGACAGCCCAAAGTCAGCGACCTTGACAGTCGTGTAGTCCGGAGACTGCGGATCGTTGGAAGCGTAGAGGAGGTTCTCAGGTTTCAGGTCCCTGTGTGAGATCCCCAGGCTGTGAAGGTATTCGATCGCTGTCAACACGTCTTTGGAGACTTTCTTGGCATCATTCTCTTTGAAGCAATCGTTCTCAATGATACGGTCTAGGACCGTGCCTCCTGAAGCGAGGTCAAGGATCAAAAAGCACTTGGACTTCTCGTCATAGACTCCGTGCAAGCGCAGGCAGTTCGGGTGGATCACTTGGCGCATGAGAACGATCTCAGACTTCAAGGATTCTCTCTTGAAAGATGCCGACTGCTTGTCGATGATCTTCACAGCGAAACATGTCCCCGTCGTCTTGTGCCTAGCAACCTTCACTTTCGCAAAAGTCCCCCTGCCCAGAGTCTTCCCGAACTCAAAGTTCTTGTGAAATCCTTTGGTAAGAATTCCAGTCTCTGAGTTCCAAATGCTGGGAGGCTCTGACTTTTCTTGCTCCTTCACCTCTTGGTTCGAAGGGGGCTCGAGGAGCGTCCGTCTAGGTAGCTTCTTCTGTGTCGTTGTAGTTCCATTCGGCCCCTCCTGGTTGATGATTGGAGGTTTCGCTACCAACGAGCTGCTGATCTCACCCGCATTATCACCAACAGCCATTTGCATCGCTGTGTATCTATGTGCTGGATATGCTGTCAACCAATACGCCAATGCGCTGTCATGGATCTTCAAGTGACCTGAAAATCAGTGTGACAACACGGTTGAACAAAGATACTATGTTTCAGTCGTGTGAACAGAGCTGCATCATACCATGCGATTTCAATTAACAATCTTCTCCGCATGGATCTGATTCCATTGCCCTCCACTCGTAGCCTAAATGTTGCTACTTGTGCTCCTGTTCTACCTGCTTCTTTCACCGGATTCAATACTCGTCAACTTTCGTGTTCACTTACCCTACACATTCCACTCATCCTCTGCTCTCTGCCGTTCTTGCTCTCCCTCCCTTCTCGCCTCCATCCCTCCCTCCCTCCCTCCATCGTCCGCCATGTCTGTCTAATCTTTTAATCGCCCCCATTTCGTTTTCGGCGCCTGTAAGGTCCTTGTGAGGAGGTAAGCAGCACGCACAGCTGGTTACATCAGCCTGAACGAGGGGGGTGGGGTAGTAAGGGGTAAAAATAAAGTCTGAGCTATTCGATCGGGAAGGGGGGATGGGGGTACTGCTCTAGCAATAGGATGGGTAAAAGACGGGGTGATACATGGTAAAATAGGAGGTGGGGGTGAGGAGTGGGAGGATATAAAGGGAAAGGGTCGTCGGGAGGGAAAGGTCAAGGGCGGAGGGCGGGGTCTAAAGGCCTTGGAAACGAGTAAGAGGGTGGGGTGGGTGGGGTGGGAAGATCTGGAACTTTTTTAAAAGGGGGCTAGGGGGGTAGGGGCTAGGGGGTAGGGGTGAAGTAAACAGGTGGGGTACCCGAGATGGTCATGTGAACATTTAACAGGGTAGGTAGTCATGAGTCACATGCCATAATAAAAGTCGGGTACGGGGTAGGCGAGGTGGGGTCCTCAAGAGATAGGAAAGGGGTGATATTTGTCCAAGGGGTGGTCCATGGTGGTCAGGGGTGCATTAAAACTGGGGGTGGGGTGGGGTGGGGGTGGGGTGGGGTGGAAGGGGCATGGGGGGTGATCTGGTTTTTTTTTAAAATTACTTGTATGGATAGGTTCATGTCAGCAGTCACGCGAACCTTCGCATGACCTCAACTTTTAGAGTTTTATTCTATTTCACTCATTTTGGTTGCAAGGAGATGTTAGCTTGTGCTGCTGCAGCTGATATCACAAGCAAGTACAGTAAGCAGGATGAAGAAGGATGTATTGCGCACGATGTGCTGCATGGTCCCACATTCCTAATGTTCCCATTACAATGAATGCAGGAACTAAATTCAGATGCGCATTACAAACCATCACATGTACTGAATAACTGTACTGCTAAACTCAAAGCAACGAGGTCCACACACCTCATCTCAACTTCGCTTTCCTCAGAACTGTCGTGATGATGTCAGAATCGATCTTTTACGAATCCAGCCGGGATGAATTCATGCGTCGAGGCGAAGCCAATAATGATTGATTCAATGATTGAACAATATGCTGCAAGTTTACCTCATAAAACCGTTCACCGTAGGAAACCTCACCATGAACACTATGACATTCGCATCGCATGTTCGGATTCAAAACGCTTCCAGCAGTCCATGAAGTTCAACGTTGATGAGCACCGAGCATCAGGTCCAAGGTGGTCGCGCGGGGGAAGGGAGAACCTTGAACTCGCAACGGTTGGTAAACCAAAGGTTGTGGTTGTCCAGTTGGAGTAGCGGTTTTCGCTGCCTCCTTCGTTTCCTAGTATTTTATTGAGGCGGGTTTGTAGGATTTCTTTGTATGCTCCGGTTTGCCTTTCTTTTTCAGTTAATAAAGACTTTCAGATGCCGGCAGTGAACTTTGGAACAAGTAAACAGTGAGTGCCAACCGGCGGGTCCAGTCCACGCTTCAAGGCTCAGCCCGGCAGCGGGATCATTCCTGCAGTCCACGACCACAATCCCTTCACTCGAGATTGTCAAAGATTGACGCCGCCAGCTCCCAGCTACCCTCATCCTCCGAGTCCAGCGATCGCCTTGCGGAGTCGGAAGCCTCCGAGGCGGCAGCTTGTACTTGTGGGCCAGCAGTAGAGGCGCCGATTCTTGGGGCTGAGAGCTTAATTGTTAGAAGACTTGAATCCGGGCCGGGCACTCAGGAAGTTTGCATCGTGTCACCGTATTTGATTTGCTTGAGAGTAGGAGGAGGCTCGTAAGGGGCCAGCCGATGCTTTTCTCTCCATGCCAGCACCTCCACTATCTGAATGCACTGCCAGCTCTCATCATGACGTGCAACGCCCTGGCGGCTGCCCTTCTGCCTACCTGGTGTGCTGTCGTTACACGGTTACAGCAAACGAGGTTCCATAAGTCTTTGTGCCGGTCCGTCTTCCCCCCCCTGGCGCACTGGTCAAGCAGCGTTCAGAGTCATCAGCCTTGCAGCACCTGTGATAGTAAGAGGGGCAGAGCTCGAAGCGCAGGAGAGCTTGAACGTGTTCCCTGCCGTCCTCGTCATCTCGGATCATGTCGTGTCACCGATCGCAGACCTCATGCTTTTCCCCGGGGTGGAAGGGATCGTCTTGGCAAGCTCAAGGTACTCGAGGGCCAGCTCGATCGGGTCTGGCAGCGGCTGAGGGTCGGGAGGGTCCGAGCTCTGACCGCTCTCTTGACCCCCGAAGAGACGAGGATCGAGTAGAAGGCCTATGGCGGACATGACAGCGTCGGCCCCAGTGTGCTCCAGACATCGCCGCACGTCTCGAAGGCTGAGGTGCAACTGTTGTGAGTAGCCATGACGTCAGCACAGGGAGCTGCTCGAACCTACGAATCATCCCTCCGTTTGCTATCACTGGTATGTCCACGGCTTCCTTCACCTCCCGGATGTAGTCCCAGTTGCAGGAGCCCTCGTGGTGGGTACACCCCCTTGTTCTCCCATGCACGGTCAGCATCGAGCAGCCGCTGCAGCGACTGATGAGCGAGCGGCACGAGCTCCTCCTCTCCTACCTCGCTTGCAGCATCTTGGCGAACGCTACTGTCCGCTCGAGGTTATCGAACACTCGGATCTTGCATGTCACCGGAACCCTCAGCCCTTGCGAGGCTCGTCGAACCATCCTGCTCACGAGCTCCGGCTCCTCCATCAGCACCGCTCCGTAGTGATCCCTCGCTGCTTGTGACTGCGGACACCCCAAGTTGAGGTCGATCGCGTCGCAGTGATCTCGTGCCTGTGGGCGCATCACCAACATGAAGCGGCTTCACTTGAGTTACCAGCCTGCCGGCCTCCAGCAGCTCGTCGGGTTCGTCGGAGCTACAAGGAAGAGTCAGCGAGATGTCACGTGTGGCCAGGGAGCACCAGAACTGAACGATCAGAGGTCGATCGTCCTCGTGCGGCTCGATGAGCGCGAGTCTGTCCTTCGCCCCCATGGAAATGAACTTTTTCGCAGGGATCATCGGGGTGTAGGTGAGTTGGACACCATGCCTGCCGTTCCAGTGAGAAGCAAGGAGGAGAGAAGAGCGGCGAGAACGACCTGCGAACGAGAAGACGAAAGGCTAGCTCGCTGTTGTTCACCATGGGGGCAGAGACGTACCTAGGAGACCCTAGGCTTCGCCACCAATGCCATGGGCTGACGAGCTCCTCGCTACCACACACGATGATCAGTGACAGCTCAAGGGCCCGCGACCGCCATGGAGATGATGTCGCCATGGTATTGACGTTTGACGAGAGGGAAGATGAATGTGGATGCTGAACAAGATCAGCAAGTCGAGGATGGCGCAAGTTAGGAGCGCGGACATTGCAAGAGTATGGATCATGACAGGTGAAGGAGACACGGGGAGCAAGACAGAAAGAGAGAGATGCACATATCTGCAGAGGAGGAGGGGGAAGGAGGGAGGGGGAGGGAGGAATCAGGTGCTTCATCTCTTTCCTTGAACTTGTCCTTACCCTGCCATGATTTTTCGTGGTTTCGGCGTGCTGGATGAGGGGGGAGGAGGGCCCTAGCGGATGCAATGTGGGTAAGGGGAACGCGAGCGGCGTTTGAGCTAGCGATCGCCAAGGTCATGCAGGCACCGAAAGATGGTCTTCCTGAGATCGGGTGAGAAATCTCTCCTCTCCTCTCTTCTCCCCTCCCCTCCCCTCACCTTCCCCCTTCTCCTCTACTCTCCTCTCCTCCTCCTCTCCCCTCCTCCCCTCCCCTCCCCTCGCCTCCTCCTCCTCTCCCCTCCCCTCCCCTCCTCCTCCTCTCCTCGCCCCTCCTCCTCCTCTCCTTTCCTCTCCCCTCCTCGCCACTCTCTCCTCTCCTCTCGACAGCACTCCACTCTACACCCCCGGTTTCCTCTCCAACCCACTCTCCCTCCCCTCCTTGCTCGCCTCCTTCCCCCCCATTCCAACTTTCCTCCCCCTCTGCATTCCCTTTGTTCTGCTCCCTCCTTGACTCTATCCCCCTCCTCGCTGCTTCTGTGTCCAGCCCTGAGAATCCTGGTGGAGACGTGAAGCTCATGCTTGATGGACTTGTCAGGTTCTCGGGGAGATCGAATGTCGGCAAGTCAAGTCTGATCAACGCGCTTACTGTGCATCACGGTCTTGCGCGAACGTCGAAGGTGGGAGGGAGCCATGGAGGTGCTGACAAGAACGACTGACATCGTCAACTCTATCAGACTCCGGGGCGCACGCAACAACTCATCTTCTTCAATGTTGCTAAGAGGTTTCGACTCGTAGATTTTCCAGGATACGGGTGAGAAGAGGAGGATATGGACACACCGGCTTCTCCGAGTCTTTCCTCGCACCTGGTCCCCCCTCCTGCTGCCTATTTCCCCTCCTTTCCAGATCCCTCACTGATCCAGCACCGTTCCCGTTGTGTTCCCTGCAGCTTCGCAAAGGCCCCGAAGAGGATAGTAGACGATTGGAACCAGACTGTGTATGACTTCGTCAAGAGGTCTGGTGCCTTTCCTCTGCCTCCTCCCTTTCCGGCCTCTCACGTTTCGACTAGTCGAGACAAACAAGTTCTCCGAGTGGTGCTCGTGCTCATAGACAGGTAGCAGTCACAGCCATACCTTGACAAGCCGTTGGTACCTGACGGAGGGTCACCCATGAAGTCGGCGAGGAATTCTTGAGATCGACTTCGACTGGCTCAGCTTCTTGCAGATGTCAAGGGTTGACTTCAGAATTGTGAAAGCCGCCTGTCATCAAGTGTTGGACCATGACTTGTCGCATACAGGTCTTTACCAAGTGCGATAAAGTCTCAAAGGCTGCTAAGGAGGAGCTGGAACAGAATGCTCGAGCACAGATGCTGATGCTGAAGCGAGATAAAGTGAAAGAGCCTTCAGTCTTCTTTGTCAGGCAAGCGATCTTGACTGCTTTGCCCACTTTGCTTATCAGCACACAGTGCCAAGGACAAGATTGGGCTGGGCGAGTTACGTGACTTCATTTTGGATTGTGTGAAGGTGGACATCACGGAAAGATATGATGTAGTAGAAGGGAAGCAGGGGGAAGGGGGTGGAAGCGACACGAATGAAAACCTATGATCAAAGCTCCATGCATTCTCTCTCTTCGTTACCGTAGCTGTCCCCATACTTTTGCCTTTTCCTGATCATCTGCATCACTCGAGTGTCGGGTTGAAGCTTCTCCCTCGCCTCCATGCCACCAATGGGTGTTTTGTTGGAGCAAGCAGAGACTGGAATGAAACGGGATCAGACTCGAGCTCGTTTGCAGAACAAGACAAGACTTGCCGACACATTTGTCCAGTGCGAATGTCTTGGACTTGGACTTCAAGGCAAAGACCGTGGAGTAGTTGTATACATGCTTACATGGCAGCGCGAGGGGCCATTTTCCGTCCTTAAAAGCAAGCCGCTCAGTGGTGAGAGGGTCTGACTCAGGGAGATCTTCGGCCGTCATGCATAGGTCCTCGTCTTCACCAGCTTCGCCATACAAGCTCTGCAAGAATTATCACACAAACATGTGTAAACGTGGTGGAGATCAGGCTTGCCTGAAATTTAGACTCCAAAGATGCATAACTTCCGCAGGATTTGTAGGCCATTTTCGATTCTTCAACCCCGAAAGTTGAATTTTTCAGCTGCTCCAGAAACTTGGTCTTTAGGGGACTGTCTTCTTGCATCTGACTGGCTTGTACTATCTGATTTTCTAACAGCTGCAAGCGCTTCTTGTCCTCTGAGATCATTTGTGCATAGGTCATGACTTCTCGTGTTTCTTCCTGAGCACATGGTGATCATCCAGAAGAAAAAGACTTCGTCTCACCTCGCTACACTTCGCCTCGTGCATTGCAGCAATCACATCAGAGAAACTGTTCTCTATTAATTCAGTACAGAGCGTGATGCTCTCTTTGATTGTTTGGATCTTGTCGGTAATCACTTGCGCCATGTTCCACCTGTCTCGAATATTTCAGAATCTACTTGCACTGCTGGGAAGTTTCATGCGACCCTCAAGCCACACTGAGACTGTTGATCCAGCCTGAGGCTGCAACGAAGCGATGGACCAATACATGGAGAAGCATCAGAGGTAAGAGAAGTTGCAGGAGCGGAAGTGGGGGTAGATGAATCGTGAGCAGGGTTATTGGCAGGAACAGCAGCAGGATCAGAATCAGGAGCAAGAACAGAATCAGGAGCAGCAGCAGCAGGGTGATGATTGGCAGCAGCAGCAGCAGCAGCAGCAGCAGCAGGAGCTTCGGCTGGGTTTGTTGAGGATTTCCCGCCATTTCTCAGTTCGGGATTAGTTATTAGGGTTCGGGATGATGGAGTCAGCAGGGAGTCAGGGGATGAGGCTGGGGATGAGGGTGATGATTGAGCAAGGGGATGAGGGTAACAGGAGTGAAAGGCGGGAAGAAATGGCAGTGCAGCAGCGGCTGGAGGTGGAGGCGAAGGCTTACCAGAGCCTACAGCAAGGTGAGAGGAGAGGAGAGGAGGAGAGAGGAGGAGAGAGGAGGAGAGAGGAGGAGAGGAGAGGAGAGGAGAGGAGAGGAGAGAGGAGAGAGGAGATGGATTGAGAAGAGGAGATAGGAAAGAGGAATTAAAGAATGTACACTCGGGATGGACGAAACGAGAAAGGAAGATGAGGCAGAGAATTTGGTATTAGTTGGTGAATGAGAAGATAAGATGTAACCTAGAGGAAGGGAGGACTGGTAGTGAGTCATGACTGAAAGCTTGTCAAGAGTGTGAGATCTCGGCCTAGTTGCTAACTTGTGTGATTTCCTGCAGAGCATGCTAAGATGGGCCAAACGTACAGCAAACTTTTAGCACAGCAGAACGAAAACAACATGGTTCTGGACGAGCTCAAGCTGATTGATGGTGGCGCTGTCTACAAACTTGTTGGGCCTGTCCTCCTGTCTCAGGTACGCGCTGATCGCTAGCTGCTCTCCTGTTGACCGCCCATGGAAGGACCCGGAAGAAGCTAAATCGAATGTCGAGAAGAGATTGCAGTATATAGGAGACGAGATGTGAAGAAATCTATCGCTATCAAGGAGATTTTGACACGTTGGCAGGAAAAGAACACAAAACCATGTCATAGACCTCGAGAAGAAGATGGAGGAGAAGAGGAACAAACTGCAACAGCTGCAGGCTCAGCTCAAGCAGGGGCAGTCAAAGTGAAGAGGATAGTGACTCAGCGGGTAGGAGAAGCAGGAGAAGGGGCAGTTCAGAGACAGGAGCTAGGAGGATGCGAGCGTTGGGGGAGTTGGAACTGGTCACTCGTACATGGTTAACCTTGAAATAACATGCGAACTCATCAGAACTCTGACGTCCTTACCAATCTTACTGTCTACTTCACATCTTCATCTATCTACAACGTCGCAACAAAACACTTCCTCTCAACACGGCTTCAGAAGGAAAATCTTATCCTGCTGCAGAATCTTCATGTCGGGTGGTGGATTCGTACAGGGATACCTGTCGCGAAGTCATCTCCTCCTCCTCCTCCTACCCACCAAACTACCTACCTACCTACCTACCTACCTACCTAACCACCCACCTTCCTGCCTACGTCCCTCCCTCCTCCCTCCCTCCTCCTCCTGACACTTCTGACTCCCCCCCTCGCTCTCCTCGCATCGTCTCCTTAGTCAGTTTCCTTCCACACACTCACCATCCTGCGCTGTAGCTGTTCTCCTGCTCCTGCCGGTAGAGGCCGAGGGGCAGCAGGTTGTGAGAAACGTACAAGCGAAACGCGTCCAAGTAAAGCTTGCCCTGCTTGAGAGTCAGACGAGGAGAGGGCCGCAGGATATGAGAGGAAATGGGGAGGGAGGGGGGGGAGGAGAGGAGAGGAGAGGAGGAGGGAGAGGAGGAGGGAGAGGAGGAGGGGGAGGAGATGAGGGTGTGTACCTTGAGACTGAGGTCGACAGGCTGCTGGATCAGCTCAACCTGCCGGCATGGCAGAACCTCACCGCCGAACCCCATGGACCCGTCGTAGCCCACGTTGGTGATCTGAGAAGAGAGCACGGCACTGATCTGCGATGGAGTTAGAGGAGGAGGAGCGAGGAGGAGAGGATACGATGGGCAGGATGTGGGGGCTGTAGAAGGATTGCGCGAGTATGGAGGTGGCGAGGGAGGAGGAGTAAACCCTCCCCTGCGCGAAGGAGCGATTGAGGTAGATACTCTCAAAGATGTCCTGCCATGCTCTTCAGCGGAAAGGAAGGAAGGAAAGAGCTGGGTTTAGGAGGGAGGGAGGGAGGGGAGGGGAGGGGAGGGGAGGGGAGGGGAGGGGAGGGGAGGGGAGGGGAGGGGAGGGGAGGGGAGGGGAGGGGAGGGGAGGGGAGGGGAGGGGAGGGGAGGGGAGGGGAGGGGAGGGAGGGAGGGAGGGACGGACGGGAACGGTACGGGTACGGGTACGGGGAAGCAGATAGGCAGGCAC